ATTTTGTAAACCACATGACGTAGTGTTTGATGATTCGATTCTTTCTTTAATGATTTAAAGAAGGAATTCAACCATCAACTGGCACATCGTGTGATAAAAAAAAATACTCTAAAACATGGTCTCCCTAACATCTTTCTTTATCCAAACTGCAACCCAAGGAGTTGGTGCAGTAAAAAGCCACCAAAAGTTTCCCCAATTTGAATTTAAACTCTCATAGATGTATTATATGTTGTGGTAATTGTGGATGTATGGAGAATAAGATTAAACACAACTTTGAGGTACGATTTGAGTCGTTTTCTTAAAGTGTTACTCACATGAGTTTGTTAAACAATTCTTGGCAAATCCCTTTCAGGATACAACAAAATTTAGAATCTCAGCAAAACTCAAAGTATCCCTACAAAATAACTAGAAAGAAATTTTACAAGTGTAATGGAAGAAGAGAGTAGGAAACTATTTTGTTAGAACAGTTCCTGATACAAACTAAAACCTCTTCTTTCCCTTTGGAACTGTTCCTGATACAAACTATTTGGTTTTGGAATACTTATTCATGTGTGTGTTGACTAGTCTAGCGGTATCCTCCATGAAGTGAATAGGGCGCATTGTAGCATAGGGTCTGCTCGCTTTGTATAATAACACTAGAAAATCCAAATTCTACGAAAACCTCGTCTTGATTCAAAATCTTAAAATTCTTGTTAAAAAGTGTTTAACTTGAAATTCGTCCTTTAGATGTATTCTTTCTCACCACAAATACTGAATGTATGTTCGAAAAGAAGGAAGTAGCTATCGTGCATTGCTCGGTACTTGAAAAGCATAGGGGAAAAAAGGTGAAAAGCAAGTTTCGTCCTTTCCCATCATTCTACCAGGAGCTCCCGTAAAAGAACTCGTTGCATGCTTCTCCTACCAAAGACTGCATTGAGAATTTAGCTAGATGATCCTCCAATTTATGGATAAATTTTTGGTTAAAACGTAAACAAGATATTGAATTGTACTTGTCACTGATGTCCCTTGTTCAATGTCAGATTGTGTGGAGCTGAACCTGTAACTTACAAAAAGCTAGAAGCTATGGCTGATGTTGCACTTTTGGGAGCATACGTCGGAGACAGACCAACATGGAGGAATGCATATCACCCCTGGAGAGTAGACTCGAGGTTTAAGCTGACCGGAGTTCCAACACTATTCCGCTGGGAAAATGATGCAATCAAGGGTCGGCTTGAAGACCACAAAGCGCATGTTGAAAACAAAATCAATGCCCTTCTTGCTGGAAATTAAGTTTGTATCATTTGAACATCTAAGATGGTTGAATTTCTTGGATGGTTTATGACTTGTTAGACTTCTGGCCGTACTTGTGTTCTGCATACTTCAATAGTTAATAAGAAATAATGTCATGGTTTCGCAGCTAATTGTTCTTGTTTCCTCTGAACTTGCTTGTGATTACCGTCTACCTGAATATCCGTGGGCCAGAATTTGAGTTTCAAGTTAAAGAGCTACAACATGTAAATTATTGCAATTTATAGATAGTTAACTTAATGCTCAAGCTATGAGCAGAGTAACGTAATTTACATCACAACCTCCTCTGCTAGTTATACACATGTGGACTCTACTAACACTTCTCTGAGGTCAAAAATTATAAACTCCACTGCAACTTCTGTACAAACTCAACTGCATTCCCTCCATGTCCTTTCACCCAATCCCTGCAACTCACAGAAAATAAAAAACCACACGATAAGAGCGATAAGAGCACGCCCAAGCGCGCACACACAAGCTAATACTGAACTGGAAAAGCAAAAAGAAAGACGACCCATGAGAATATGAACTACTCTAAAATCACAAATGTTTTACTCAGATTCTGAAAAACAGTATAATCCCGTGTTTTGGATTTTCTCCCAAGCATTTTTAAATGCTCATTTACCTCAAGTACAGTGTAGCTACCTTTGTGGTTAAAACACCATGATTACACAAAACTTGCTACTCATGCCAAGTCTTACAGCGGCTAAATATCAGAAAGCCCGAATACTGAAACATATCAAAGTGTATATGATTCCAGGGAAAATATTGCAATGATAAGCATGCTCTTAATTACCTCATATCCTCTTTTTAAATTTGAGCTTTTGATAGGGTTTGGTTCAATGTCAAGATAATGTCACCATAAGGTACTTCTTGTTTTACATCAACAAGACCATAAGTCTTCAAAACCTGAAAGCGACAATGAACAATCATATTAGTAGTTATATACCAATACGTGCTCAATTAGTACTTCTACAGGCAGTATAAGTTTCCTTTACCCGAGCAAAAAAAGGGAGCATATTTTTTACTTGTTCATAGAGTATAAGAAAACAGATAACAAACCAATTTAACATAGAAATAATTTGAGTCCAAAACATTTGACTTGATGTAAAATCAACTTGAGAAACTTCTGCTGCTAAGAGACAGATTTTCCTGGCTATTATTTGTGGAGTGACATTTGCAGGAACAGATAGCAGACATAAATGATATTGAACAAAGAAATAAAACTTGGATAACTGAATCAATTTCCCATAACTAGGTTATTATGAACATCAACTCCCAAGTTGTGCATTGAAAACTATGCAAACATTTTGCTCCCTTGTTCCTACTACTTCTAAAACGAATACGAATAAGTTGCTCTTAAAATCTGTGATGTACCATAAGATCCATGCCACATCAAATACTTGAAGGACTTCTAAAAAAAACTTGCATTCAAACAAGAGAACCTAACTGATATGGCTCAAAAGATTACCAGTGTTTCATAGAACATTCGGGCACATAGCTTTCTAGTTTTTCCTTCTAAAATTTTGTCCAAGCTGAGATCTCCAGTGACGTCTTCTGAAGTTGAGGTGATAGAAGATTCCCTTTTCAAAAATTGAGCCACAGCCCTGCATACCAAACGGGGAAAATAATAAGAAAAATAAATATAATGAGCCATACATAAATACAGTGACTAACTAAATCCTGTGTAAATAAAGAAAAGAAACAATTGAAAGAGAAGTACCTGGTTCTAACTGACAATGAATCAACTCCTTGTGTCCCTTGAGATCCCGGTATTCCTTGTGTCGCTTGAGATCCTGGTACAAGCATAGATATGTCATCCAAACAGTGTACACAAAAGTAAATGAATATGAAGAATGTGTACGCTTATTTGAACAGGCAGCCAAGAAAAACATTATGCACAATTTACATGATCTCTCGAATAACAGATTAAATAAAGATTTCTGAGTTTACCAGCTGGTGTATTGCCATCTGCTTCTAGGAAAAGACCCTACAATGAACATTTCAACAAGTTAGAATGTTAATTATTAGTTAACTGTTCAGACGGGAAAAAGTGGAGTTATGCACTAATACATGGAGTTAACTGGTTCATCGAAAGGGGTTTCACAATAAAAAGTAAGTCTCTCATGGTATATTATGAATGATAGATTATGACAATTGTAACATCACATAATGCATGGCAGGTCGAAAGTGTATAATCCTATATAAAGGTAAGAAGAACAGTTCAACTTCTACAATTAGTCCACAAGGAAAAGAAGGTCAAAATGAACGAGGGTTAGGAGTTAGATTATCATAAAAATAAGAATAAGATTATATACTTGAGACTCCAAATAAAAGGCTATAGGGAGAATAATGGGGACATGCCCATCCCACGCCAAAATATAGAGCACATATAGTCTGTAAATAAAAATCTGGTCCTCTAAATGAAGTGCATGGTAATTAAAAATAAATACTAGTCTTGCCCTCGTTTTAGTACTTTGCTTATGTGTTGGGTGACATGCATTCGTAGTTTTTGTATTTCATTTTTTTTTTTTTGGTAAAAAAAACAGAAGTTTTATTAAAACCTTTCAGATCGATTATGAGGTAATATTCATTAAAGGAGTTGTATCTCATTTTATCTTTGTTTCCGGTCTGGCAACTAGTACCATGCTTTTACTGTTTTACATCAATTTGTCTTTAGCTTGACAAGTAATTAAGAAATGTGGCTCATACATTGATCTTTTTTGTTGCAAAATCACATAAAGCTTATGTAAAACTAATCGAAATACAGAAATTTTCAATATTTTTGGTTGATGATTTTTTAAGGCATTTCAATATTTCAAGAGAATTCATTAAGTAATATGAGAGATGCTAATTGTCCTTTTTATCTTCCGTTCCAAATAGATCATACTCACATTTTACTATATATATGAGTGGAATACTTTTCTTGTTGATACAATAGTTGCCTATAGTTTTTGTAAAATTTATTATTCAAGGCTAAGCAAAGCATTTATAGAGCTCAGTATAATGAACTGTGCGCAATAACATGAGCTGTTTTTACAAGCCTTAGGTTCTCTATTAAGTTCCCCTGAGCCTTAAACCTTAAATGCATCTCACGCAAACATAAAGGAGAACTTAAGGCTTCCAACATATTGGCAATAAACAGTAAAACAAGGCAAATTGATATCAAAGCCAAACACAATTTACACAAAACACAAATAGGACCAAATACTAAATAACTTACTGCTTCAGCAGAATCGTTGAACTCAGGATTATTTGATAGACCAGTGTTCTCCAGACCTACCCACTCCTCAAACATTGTCTTTGATGTTTCATTTACAGATTCGCGAAATCTAGTCGATGCTGTTTGATCCGGTGTCAGCAGTATTTGAGTTCCAGTGCTTGCTTCCAATGGAGGGACTGAAGCTGACATTAAGTTTGGAGACGGAGCAGGAATAAAGTCATATTGAGTGGTAGGAGATTGTGCACCCTCATACTCTGGTAAGTTATTTCCACCATCATGTTCTTCAACATGTTGAAAACGTTCAATTTGTGGCGGAGATTGTGCACCCTCATGCTCTGGTAAGTTATTTCCACCATCATGTTCTTCAACATGCTGAAAATGTTCAATTGTTGGGGGAGATTCTGCGCCATTAAACTCTGTGGAAACTTCAATGACTGGAAGAGATGGTGGAACACCGCGCTCTGGGGAGAATTCAGTTGTAGGAGGAGATGTTGCAGATCCAGAGACTGGAAGAGCTCCCTCAACCAAATGGGACTGTTTGGATATATAGTCCTTGTCAAAAATGTTACGAAGATCCGAACACAATCCTACAAGCAGACACCAAGATCTTCCTTAAAAAAATTCATTAAAATAGAAAACAAGCAGTGAGAGAAATACATGAAGGGAAAAGATCCCCTCACCAGTTAATGAAGGCTGGAAAAATATTTGTTCCTTTCTTAGACTGTTGTTCAACTTCCAAACACCCAAAGTAGAGTAGGCAATATTCCTCTTTTTACGCTTTAAATCACTAGCATCTTGAATAGTCCTATTCATAAACCTGCAAAATACACAACCTATCTCAGTAAACAATACCAGAAGAAACAATGACCCTACAGTAATAACATGTGCAACCATACTCATTGGATAACACAAGGGTCTCATCAAAATACTGCTTTCTCTTCCTTGCTCTTGCTCTTGGTTGCTCAACATGTGGTGTTGATTGCATTTCTGCAACAGGAGAGAGAAACATTCAAGGGAAAAAACAAAGTTGTGTCTTATTAATGCTACATATTAAGGACATTATAGACGATGAGAACTCTACTCACGAAAGGAAACATCTTTCTCATTCATTTCTGGCAAAGAAGCAACAGAAGCTCGTGGTCCTGAACTTGGCAGGGACAATGGAGATGGCCCACCAGAAGGAGTATTCTCCTCTGTAATTGGAGAAAGTACTTCTTTCTCATTCATTTCTGGGTTAATAGATTTGTCAGGTTCAGTAAGATCATTGCCGTTATTGAGAGCAACCATAGGAACAATTTCTGGAGGAACAGCATCTCGCATAACTTCCATTGGTTGAACATGTTGAGGGGAACCGTCATCTGGAAGATGAGCATCATCTTGCAGAACTTCCGTTGGTTGAACATACTGAAGGGAACTGTTGTCAGGAAGAGCGTCTTGAATAACTCCAGCTTCTTTATTTGGAGGGGTGAAGCGATCACTAGGAACACCCTCGCCTGGAGTTGTAGAGTGGATGCTGTAACCATTTAAATATAACCAATAAATTTACAGCTTTGTGAAAAAATATTTGAACCATACATTAAATTTAAGTGCATTAGGGAATCATACTCCTCATCCATGGGAGCAACATCTGAACCAAAAACTTCGTTCTGGATATCCTAAAAAATAACACATGTTTCATTCAGTAACAATACAAATCCAGTACCTTACCATTCAAACATAAATGTAAAGAAGAGCAGAAACAATAAACTCTATCATTGGAAAAGAAAAATGTCAACCTCGTCAAAAGTTATAGTGACATAACGGTCTGTTGCAATAGGAATTTGATCTGTGACACAAAGTTAAAATATTTTAAGACTTTCATCAAATGAACATAACAAAGACAAATAATAAAGATGAGAATTCCAAACAGCAATTAACTTCTACAACCTGGTAGTGTGATGTCCTCCTGACTCGCGTGATGATTATCATAAGCCCTGAGGAAACAAGGTCATTTGCATCATACATTCATTTAGAAGCAGAATAGAAAGATGAATGAAAAGGGTTTAATGAGAATATTACCCCTCACCGAACACGCCTCCATCCAAATCCAAAGCATCAAGGTCAAATGTTTCCGGCAAAGTGATGGACTGAACTGGAGCTTGCATTGCATTCTCTGGCAAATTCAAGTCTATGGAAGCAAAAGTCTTTCTTAGGGTAGTCAAAACAACATTACAGTCCTGGTAAAGATAGTCGACCTGCTTGGAGTATATCCGAACAACGCCAAATAAAAGGTGTCCTGACATTCTCAGTGCAATAGGAACATCCGGAAACATGATGCGATCTGATAAACACATTCATGCAAACATTGTAAAGCCAATTGATTTTTTCCACATTTAAGTTTTTTTTTTATGAGAAATCGCACATAAATATATCCTCAAATTTAAACTTATACTAAATAACATGGAGCAATTCAGCCCACAATAAACCCACAACATTCGCAACAAGGGATTAAAAATCAAAAAGGGGGGAAAATAATCAAGTGATTCGAACCCAAACAAATTTTAATTTTTCTTTTATTACAAAGAATATTACTACTCACACACTATAAATTTTATCAAAATTAAAGAAAAGAACAAAACTTTATCCGAAAAAGGCGATGATTTTGCAACAAAGTTTCGAAATTTAACACCAATTTGATCAGAAAGCAGCACTGGATTCAGAATATGAGACACCCAGAATAAGAAGAAAAAACTCAAATTTAAGGCAATCAAACAAAAGGGAAAGGGGTTTTACGGACCAACGGTGGAGGGGATGTCGGTGGAAGTATAGTGGGACTTCTTCAGCCGGCTCTGGAGGTGGGCCGCGCACCAGACGGTTCCCAGTGGGCCCTTCCGAGCCAAGAACGTCTGCGAATAAAACATCCTTCCGCCTTCCTTCTCTCAATTCTTCTTCTTCAATGCCGAAACTGATATATAATTATATATAAATACAGCGCTTTGATTGTGTTTGTGTGTGTATTTATATGAATTCTTAGAGAGGGTGGAGCAAGAAAATGGAGGGTTTTAGGGTTATTTGGAGATTGAATGCGAAGACGGGGCGCGGGAAACGAAAAGTGGCGCCTATTTGGAGCGGGAATAGCCCTTGACGTTTACAAGAATTACGACTCTTGCCATGCACTTGCTTACTGTTAATTTGGCGCGCGACGGGGTTAGTCGTAAATTTATTCGCGGAAACTTGCTTTGGAATTTTTATTATTGCCTAATTTTAACCAGATAGCGGTTTTGCAAATCTTTTTTCACCTTTTGCACATTCTTTTTAATTTCGACCCAAAAAAAATTGTGTAGAAACTATTTTCCTTTTAATGAAGCTATCGAAACACCTCAACTTTGTTCGAAGTCTTAAAACTGAAATTTGTTATTCCCCAAGGTCATGCCACATCTCTTGAGTATTGTTCGTCTCTGTTGTTTTCTTTGAAACATATTAATCTTCTGATTGTAAAAATGTCGAAAAAAACTTCGGATCAATCTTTTCAGATTTTACGTAATACAGTTGATGCATAAACAAATGTACTAATGATCATTGTACATCAAATGTCACAAATTCTAGAATGCACTCAAAATTACAAGGCATTCCATGTCCTACTAAGGAACATGGATCAAAACAAAAGCCATCGTTTTGATCTTAATATTGACCGTTAAACAAGTTAAATCCAACCTAATCCAAAACGACGCTTGAGCAAGATTACTTTAACTCAACGGATGCTCAAATCTAGTTCAAGTTCGAGGCAGTTTCAACCAAGATAAGCCAGAATAAAATCGGACGCACTAATTATGCCATATCATACATTGATACTTTCAATCCAGTCAGCTTCTACCAGGAATGACCAGAAACCCTCAAGGTCGTGACAATGTCATTAAGATCGAAACCATAAGAAACTACAAAAATGACTTCGATTTTTTGTTTCGCTCATATGTGGCCTACCCTAATTTCTGATACAATAGATACAATTGCAAACTCTCTTCTGCCAGCTCTACTATGCCTTGTTCACACGAATTCTTTGCCCTTCGAACAACTGCAATGAACAATAAGTAATACAAATAAACGGTCTAACGCGATGAAAGGGGATAGCAACTGATTCAATTTGCTAAGGAAATCAAACAGTTTCGATTATTTGCAATAAAGGAAGAATCGCTTCCAAGAAATTCATGACGAAAGCACAATCCATCAAGATAAAAGAACAATATATTATCAGTACCAACTCAACTTATCGACAACATACATTAATAGTAGTGGTACTAGTAGTAGTAACACATGACCATGAGCAGGAATAGAAACCAAAAGGAAGCATACAGCTTGGAGGATGGGATAGGGTGTTCTGATTAGGGATAAGATATTATACAAGACTTGCAGGAAATTATGCAGACTAAAAGGCAACTAGGGACGAAATACCATGCAGATTAAAAAGTTTTGGAGAATTATACAAGACTTGCAGCAATTTGGCTCATCGTTGGTGATTAAAAAGTTCACTGAACAAAGGAATTAAGTCAGATTGACGGGGGTGATTCTAGATGCATAAGCAATTAAGCATTACGTATATGTAGTGTAGCCATGATTTGTAATACATTTTCGATAATGGTGCATGTTGTCTGTCATATGTTCTATAATAAAAGTGTATGAAAACTGCCATAAGAACATATAAGAATATAAACAAACGGGCTCAAGTGTATCAAAAACTAAACAGAACATCCATAAATATGTGCAAGTGAATATATGTACGCATGTTGCATAGTTAGATTCCAAGCTTCCTCTAAAACATGGTACACCAGCTAGAAACTTACACTATTGTTGAAAGATGAGATTGCAGCTTCTACATCCTCCTCCGAGGAAAAAGAAACAAACCCAAATCCGCTAGATTTTGAGGTCCCTGGAACCCGGGAAACCTTTGCACTAAGAACTTTTCCCTTGTCAGAGAAAAGGGTTTTGAGTGTATCCGTAGTTACTTCCTTTGCAAGATTTCCAACATAAACTTTGTGGGGGCTGTCAATGAATTGGGACTCTTCTGCCTGAACGAGTGATGTGTCCGCTTGTAGCAGGGGTTTTTCAGTTATGTTTACTTTGACTTCACGTCCCCCAATCTCCTGTATAATAACAACAAGATGGAGTTAATTGATTTCCAACAATTAATAAAATCTTACTACGGAAACTGAAAAAAGTGCCAATAGAGTGCAGAAAACATTTCAGTAGATGAATTTTTTAACAGTGTTTTAATCAAAATAAACTTATGAACCTTGGTAACACTTACAGTTCCATTCAGTTTCTCAACCACGGCATTTGCATCTTCAACAGTCATCATCGTAGCAAATGCAAATCGGCGACTTCTTCCAGAGTACTTATCATACATCACCTACGCCCAAAAGGAAGGAAAGATGGCCATCTCTTTTCTTTGTTATGGTAAAGTCAACTCATATAGAAAAAGCATTCTTCAATATAATTCTCCACACATATCCCCATGGAAGTATTTATTGACGTAAACCAAATTTCGCCTTTCGTAAAATATAACTAAAGATTTGCGACAAACAAAACTAAATTCATAAACACAAATTCCCTTTGCACCAATTAAACCAACTTAACAAAACTAAACACATTCTCAACGTAACAAACACAAAAGTAGTGCCTACCAAATATCAAATACTAATCACACTGAGCTCTGAAATCTTCAATAACCCAACAATCAAAACAGCACAAAAATGCATGAAAATACTAAAGGGAGACAGAAGGAACACGGAAATTTTTTAGATACCTCAGCCTTTTCGACAGCACCATGTTCCTCGACTATTTTGGTAAGCTCAGCATTATCCACAGTCCTGGGAATGTTACCAATGTAGACTCTTCTGGCAGCCTTCGAAGCCGGGTCCGCCGCGACTTCTTCGGCGACAGCGAAGAGCCTCTGTGAGTGCCTGGGGGTCAGAGTCAGATAGGAGGAAGTGAGTTTGTGAAAGCCCTGAAATTGGGTTGGTTTGAGGATTTGGAGGGGCAGTTTAGGTGAGGTTTTAATGGGTTTTGTGGGGTGGTGAAGGAGATTGGGTGGTGAGAATATGGATGAGATTGTAGCCATCTTTGGGTTAATGGGGTTCTAGCGAGTAGAGTGGGAGAGAGGGTGGGAAAGTTGATGAGGAGGAAGGCTTCAATTTCATTATCCCATTATCTTGCTGGGATTTTGGTCTCCAAAGGTATCTCACCCACGGGTAAGATGAAAAGATTTTTCAGTGTGACTGTCACACGAGATAGTACATTATATGTTCCTATATAAATTGTGGGTTATGTGTGTTAAAAGGTTAATAACTTAAAAATTAAAATTTTCCACTATTGCATAAAAACACGTAATGTACCATCTGTATTTTCATCACAACTAAAAATTTCTCGGTAATATGAGATATGAATGGAACCTCTTTCTTCATTTCAATTTTTCTTGGACACTCTTTTCCCATTTTCTTACTAGTAAAGGCCAAGTGTGAGAGAAATATTATTTTATAAGAATAATGATTTGTTTTTAACGATTTGAAATTAAGGAGAGGAGAGTGAGAGGTGGGAGGAAAATAGGGGATCACATGGTTGTGAGAGAAAAAAAAATAGCAAAATCATTGTATGTGTGATTTACTATAATTTTTCTTTTTCATATATTTTTAGTTGATAAAGAGAATTATATTAATAGTAGAGATAGTAGTGTTAATATTGATCCAAAAAATGCTAGGGCATTTTCTTAAGACAAAAACAATATTACCATAAATAGACAATAAGAGGAAGAACCTTCGCTGGAATCTTGAAGTGGAGTGGCGGAGCGGTGAGTGATAGGTTTCTCAGTTTATTTCTTTAATAATTTCTGTAAGTACATGAGATGGTGTAACGTTATTAATTTAGGTACTAATCTCTGCTATTATTCACATTCATGCACGATTCCAGGCTAAAATTGTGACAGTCCGTCCCTGATTTTAAGAGTTTTTAAAGTTTTAATAAAGGATTTTACAAAAATGCCCTTTAAGGCACGCGCATTATTTGAGGTTAATCGTTGTGTCGTGCCATCTAAGATTTGTTTTCTTGACATATCCTCGTAGTACTCGTCGCTACAGAAGCGTGGGTGCAGACGATTCGTGATTTGGAGTTATAACGAAAAAGATTTTAAAGTTTGAAGTTTGGGCATTTTATGAATTTTATTATTAAAATTTGGTGTGCCATTTGGATGGCCCAGATTAAAGGAAATATGAAATGGATGGCTCGGATGTAAGTGAAGGAAAATAAAAATAAAAAGATGAAGGAAGGTTTTGTATGTGTATGTGTGTGTGTGTGTGACTGGTGGAGAAGAAGAAGAAGAGATTGGGCAAAGCTGCCCAACCAGGGGAAGAGAGCAGGAGCTCCGAGAGAGAAAGGAGAGAGAGCTGGCGAATCAAGAGAAGAGAGAAGGAGAGGATGGCCAACCAGAAAAGGGGAAGGAAGGAAATGAGGGAGAAGGAAAAGGAGGGGAACCACCGGGTCTTCTTCTTGACCCGCGCGACCCGGCCGAGCTCCAAGGTCGAATTCACCTATTTCCCGGCCACTTTCCGATGAATTTTCTCGAACCACGACCTAGAAACAACTTCCTAGCCTTCCCTCTTCCATTCCCATTCAAAATTAGAAGGAATTTGGTGGTAATTTATTCAAAAACCGAAGGTGGGTGCCGTGAGGAACATTGCTCGAAATCCACCACTTGTGAAACATTTTCCTTCAATTACCATTACCATTAGACTTCCCTAGAACCCAGGAACAAAGCCCAAGCAGTGGTGGAGGCGTTGGAACAAGTTTGGAGGTAGAATCGAAGCACACCAAATTCTAGGGTCCGCACGAATTTTGGTGAAATTGAAGTGTTTCCAAGCCAAATTGGCATTGGCCTCAAGTATAAAGTTTACTCTACTCATTGAGATCTTCATTTCTGTAAATTTTGGTAATTTTTTGAGATAGTTGGATTTTCCGGCGAGCCGAG